CCCCCCCCTCTTACCAGCGTGCGTTCTCTATCACTGTGAATTTCAGAGTGCTGGTGTTAAACCCCCCCCCCCTCTTCCAGCACGCATTTTTGTCACACTAAGTTTCAAAGCACTGACGGTAGGAAAATCTAGCTCCCATACTAGTACATAGTACTTGAGCAATATATCCATTCCTTTGCTCTGTAATGCGTCTGTTTAATTGCTCTTGGCTTCAGTTAATACAGTAGATAATAAATAATAACATTTTTTTGTCTTTTCTTTTTTGTATCTTGGTTTAAAATGACTGTTAAGAACTGTAATCTTAAGGGTGTCTCTGAGAATATCATTTATCATTCGAGGGCGATGGGTGATTCGTTATTACGCACTGATTCGTGATTGCCGAAGTTTTTCTTCACCACAATTAAAGACCTCGGCCCTCAAATGGGTTCCGAATGTCCAGCGTCCAGTCGAGAGAAAAGATGAATGTATGCCGTGATGACCTGTCCGGTTTTCTGCATCCACCCCTTCTGTTGTCTACTATGGTGACTTCTCTCTCTTCTCTCTCTCTCCGTCCATATTCTCTATCTTCCCTCTCTCTCTCTCTCTTCCTCCCTCTCTCTCTCTCTCTCTCTCTCTCTCTCTCTCTCTCGCCGATACGTTAAAAGTGTTCAACCTAAGAAACCCACTTAAAACTAGCGCACGTACACTCAAACAAACAAACAAACAAACAAATACACGTTGGTCTCTCTCTCTCGTCTCTCTCTCTCTCTCTCTCTCTCTCTCTCTCTCACACACACACACACACACACACACACACACACACACTGTTCACTACGTGCGCTTGCACACACACATGCATGCAGCCACGCATTCACACGCACTGCATGAGTACTCAGGTACACACAGGATGCGCACACACACATGCACAACCACGCACCAAATTACTGTAGCTACAGGATTTTAATACAACAGCAGGTTGAAATATTACACGTCGCATGCACTATTTATACGCCTTCCCTGCAGCGACTTCCTACACTATAACCCACAACGCTGTGACACATGAAATCAGATTAGCTGACTTATAGGAAAAAATACAAGTATGTCATATGAACCATATCTGAATAACTATAGCTCCACCAGGGCAAAGAATAAATGTATATAATCCAATTTCAACACAGACCCGGATTCATACAAACCCACATGTTAATTCAGTGAGATAGCTTCCCACTATACCGCGCCATTTTGATTCGGTCAAGCGAAAGAACTATCTGGTTATAAACAACATGAAAGATACTGACCTAGATGTATAGGCACCCCTCGCTCTCTCTCTATATGTTCCCTCCACAGCCTGTGTTAGTTGTAAATCCCGAGATCTAAGACCAAGCGCTGGCATGCAATGAGACCGCCACTATATTCGTGTGTACCTTGTTTTAAAGCAGCCAACTTAACGATGCCCTAGTTTCTCTTCGGCTGCTATACCGGTGCGCGCACAAAAAAGTTATGTCTATTACTCATCACCAACACTTATAAAAAAACCGGCTTCTTATTTGCACTCTGCGGTTATCCGTGTTCCTCAGGTAAATGCTTTCGAAGGTGACCGCCAGGGTGAGCCACAGGTAGCCCAGGTGAGCAAGCCCCCATGTGGAGATCAAATAATCTGTGTATTATTTTATTTAAAAAAATAAGTCTCATTCACACTTGGATCAATAGAGTGATATTTATACGAGCCTCGGTCAAAGTTGTCTGACTTGGAGAAAGACAAAATGTGGAACGATTTGACATTATTTACATATATACATGCACGCCCGTACTAATATAAATGAAACACAACTAAAGGTACATGAATGCGAACATCACTTTAGTTTTGTCTATAGAGAAAGAAAAGCCGGATTTGCACCACCAGAAAAATTATGTTTTCTGTTAATTTCATTTATATTTTATCCATGTAAACGTCTCTTTTTAAACCGCTTAATGATTTTCTGTGGCGCTGTTAATTCTAAGTGTGTTTTACACACGCTTTACTCAGGGACGGACCCAGGTTTATTTGAATTGGGGGGGGGGGGGAACGACAGGCCTCCGATACGAAACCGATCATCGCTCCTTGGCGTGGGGTTCGGGGCCTACTCCAGGGCCCCTAATTTTTTTTTCGGTGCTCTGGGGGGGGGGGGGGCAAACGGTGCCCTTTGGTGCGGTTTAGAACTATGATTCAGCTGCTCAAAATTCTAATTTCAAGAGAGGAATATTGGTGTGATATATTTTTCAGAAACCGAAGGGGGGGGGGGGGGGTCAGGAACCTTTAAATCCGCCAGTTTACTAATTAGATTAATTCGACATCCGCATATTTTAAGCTCCTTCTTGAATGAGTTAAAATATATAAAGTTTTATAAAGTTTTATAAAGTAAAATATATAAAGTTTTATATCTTATATATGTCATTAGAATATTTACCTTGACGTTTCATATGGATGTAAACACATTGTTTAACTGCCTATTTTTTTTAAATTTTAACATGAATGTCGTGATCAGTATCAACAGGACAAATAAATATATATTTATTTATTTATTCACGATAAACTAAAACTTCAACCTTTAGGTTGCGATTCTAGCAAATAAATTATTATTATTATTATTATTATTATTATTATTATTATTATTATTATTATTCACGATAAACTAAAACTTCAACCTTTAGGTTGCGATTTTAGCAAATAAATTATTATTATTATTATTATTATTATTATTATTATTATTATTATTATATACCGGTATGCGTGTGTGCGCGTGCTGGCACGAGTTTGTTCAGTGGGTAAACTCTTTCGTTCCCTTTATAGAGCAACGGAATCTAAAGTTTGCCTGAATGACAAACGTAGTAGTCTGCTGTAGTATCACGGATATTCATGCAAGCAGAGCGGTCTTTTAAATGCAAAGTACTCGGTTAGAATACGACCTCGTGGCAGCTTGCATATTTACTGGGACAGCCTGCCTCACACATTGACCTTGTTGATATTATGAAGGAAGATTTACACTGGGGAAATGTTCACCGATCCTTCCGCGCACCAGGTAAACGCTGATACTGACATACATTGTGTGGGATTATTTGATTATTAAAATAAAATTAAATACGGACATTTCTTAGTACTAAACAGTTCTTGGGGGGGGGGGGGGGCAGAGAGACGCACATTTCGAGAAGACAAGGCGCAAACATACCTGTATGCCGATACGCATGTTCAAATTGTTTCGCTGGAAAAGTTGTAACTGCCTTTCCTGTTCTTTCTTTTAATATAAACCATCCATAACAAAACCTGCTCCTTGTGTCAAATCTGCATGTACCACATATGTTTTCAAGAAATCTGTTCTCAAAAACTCGAGGAAAAGAAATAATCACTGTCAGTATAACCCTGACAAAAACCGGTTCTGTCCCCTATACGTTATTCCCTTAAAGACACGTCAAAAGTCCACTAATGGCTGTAGGACGATTGAGTTAATTAGTTCTTTTTTTGCCAAAAATAGCCAGCATCAAAAACAGCAACCTCGCAGGCGAAACATAATGATTAAACCCAAAACCATACAAACGTAAAAATTAAAAAATTAGAAAACCAATGTCTTCCCCATTTGCCCTTGACATGTACTGAGTTTGGGGATAACAGAAGAGATTAAAAAAACTAAATGAGACGATAGAATACTCACTCTAAAGCAGTTTTAAACAACGTTCGAATACGTTGAATATATGTATAGTGCCCATTCATGACGTACAGCAAAAATAAAAAAATAATGATTATAAAATTAAAAAATAATAAAATAAATAAATAAACAGATAAATAAATAAATAAACAAATCAGTGATATGATAGAATAAAATAAGCAAACGAATAAATAAAGAATAAACAAAATATCAAACAATTATAAATATGTTAATAAGTACAGCGTAAATAAATATATAGATAAATAATAATTAATTAAGAATTTGACAATAAACAAATAAATAAATAAATAAATTTGATCTGTTAACTCAAACTACAACTTAAGCCTGCCCGCTACACTAGCTGTGATATTTGAATGACCTCTGAAAACTGCGTCACCACAAAACGTGTTGTGAATGTATAAACTATATAGTGTATATATTCTCATCGCGTAATTCAGCATGCAAGGCACATAAGCAGACGACAGTTGTACGGGATCTCGTTTTCTCTCGTCACTAGTTTGTTTAAGGGTGTCTATATCGGCTTATTAAGTCTACAAGACGACTCAACTCTGTAGTCGACAACTTCAGTTAAATGTCTTGGAAATGTAAAATAAAGCTAAAAATTAGAGACCTTACGACTTTTAAAAATTCGCAAGCTAGATAGGGTCTTTCTCGAAACTTTTATATTAAAATATCATATGAATACAAGGTATCCAGTATAAATGCCGATATATATATATATGGCATTTTAATGTAGGTGAACTATTTGACGTCGGAGACAGTCCACCTTACACTATCAAAATACTATATGCAAATCTTCGCTCTGACTGCCTTGATAGATCGAATTTCGTGTAAACAAAAAGTTCAAATTACTTACGAACACGATTAAAATCTCGTTGCTTTTTGTCTCGTTATAAGCTACTAACTGAAAAAAAGGCTTAAATAGGAATTAAATACGCAGCGCTGTATACGATGTTGACTGCTAACATAGAGTNGGGGGGGGGAGAGACGCACATTACGAGAAGACAAGGCGCAAACATACCTGTATGCCGATACGCATGTTCAAATTGTTTCGCTGGAAAAGTTGTAACTGCCTTTCCTGTTCTTTCTTTTAATATAAACCATTCATAACAAAACCTGCTCCTTGTGTCAAATCTGCATGTACCTACCCGGTAGCATCTAGTTCCACATATGTTTTCAAGAAATCTGTTCTCAAAAACTCGAGGAAAAGAAATAATCACTGTCAGTATAACCCTGACAAAAACCGGTTCTGTCCCCTATACGTTATTCCCTTAAAGACACGTCAAAAGTCCACTAATGGCTGTAGGACGATTGAGTTAATTAGTTCTTTTTTTTTGCCAAAAATAGCCAGCATCAAAAACAGCAACCTCGCAGGCGAAACATAATGATTAAACCCAAAACCATACAAACGTAAAAATTAAAAAAATTAGAAAACCAATGTCTTCCCCATTTGCCCTTGACATGTACTGAGTTTGGGGATAACAGAAGAGATTAAAAAACTAAATGAGACGATAGAATACTCACTCTAAAGCAGTTTTAAACAACGTTCGAATACGTTGAATATATGTATAGTGCCCATTCATGACGTACAGCAAAAATAAAAAAATAATGATTATAAAATTAAAGATTAATAAAATAAATAAATAAACAAATAAATAAATAAATAAACAAATCAGTGATATTATAGAATAAAATAAGCAAACGAATAAATAAAGAATAAACAAAATATCAAACAATTATAAATATGTTAATAAGTACAGCGTAAATAAATATATAGATAAATAATAATTAATAAAGAATTTGACAATAAACAAATAAATAAATAAATAAATAAATAAATTTGATCTGTTAACTCAAACTACAACTTAAGCCTGCCCGCTACACTAGCTGTGATATTTGAATGACCTCTGAAAACTGCGTCACCACAAAACTGTTGTGAATGTATAAACTATATAGTGTATATATTCTCATCGCGCACACGACAATTGTAAGCGTAATTCAGCATGCAAGGCACATAAGCAGACGACAGTTGTACGGGATCTCGTTTTCTCTCGTCACTAGTTTGTTTAAGGGTGTCTATATCGGCTTATTAAGTCTACAAGATGACTCAACTCTGTAGTCGACGACTTCAGTTAAATGTCTTGGAAATGTAAAATAAAGCTAAAAATTAGAGACCTTACGACTTTTAAAAATTCGCAAGCTAGATAGGGTCTTTCTCGAAACTTTTATATTAAAATATCATATGAATACAAGGTATCCAGTATAAATGCCGATATATATATATATATATATATATATATATATATATATATATATATATATATATATATATATATATATATATNTAAGGGTGTCTATATCGGCTTATTAAGTCTACAAGACGACTCAACTCTGTAGTCGACAACTTCAGTTAAATGTCTTGGAAATGTAAAATAAAGCTAAAAATTAGAGACCTTACGACTTTTAAAAATTCGCAAGCTAGATAGGGTCTTTCTCGAAACTTTTATATTAAAATATCATATGAATACAAGGTATCCAGTATAAATGCCGATATATATATATATGGCATTTTAATGTAGGTGAACTATTTGACGTCGGAGACAGTCCACCTTACACTATCAAAATACTATATGCAAATCTTCGCTCTGACTGCCTTGATAGATCGAATTTCGTGTAAACAAAAAGTTCAAATTACTTACGAACACGATTAAAATCTCGTTGCTTTTTGTCTCGTTATAAGCTACTAACTGAAAAAAAGGCTTAAATAGGAATTAAATACGCAGCGCTGTATACGATGTTGACTGCTAACATAGAGTCCATGAACGTTATCCAATTTTTATTTCTAATGATAATAGGCTAATATTTTCCCAATTTGGAGCATGGG